GTTGTTAGTATTTGCTTGTTTTATAAGTAATAATGTGAGCCACAGCCTTCACTTAAGCTGCAAACCACATCAAAGGAATTCAATTTCTTACTGTCAAGTTCTCATAATACTGAAATGATATAGAGCTGATTCACTCGAAATAAATGCTCGATTGACTTGAATTGCACCTGTATGTCCACAAAATGTCTGAATTTGCACGCATTCGTAATTCATGTACATTAGTTTTGCGACTTATAAGCTGACATCCGAGCTGAAAATAATGCCAATACAATTCGATATCATAAATATTTTATGCACTATGCTGCTGTTGGCCATTTGTTGCTGCTTTAGCTTTGCATACATTTTGTCAATTCGGTTGCGGGAATTGAAACTCCGGCATAAAGCAACCTTAAAGGCGAATGCCTATTAGGCTGCATATTAAACAAAAAATATATGCAGACATCAGGCCAAATAAATAACAGACCAACAAAATACGAGTACTCGCTCGAGAGGGCCAAGAAGCGGGCGGGGTCCGAGACAAAAGCCAACAACAAAGCAAGGAATTTCAACCCTTTTTATGATTATGAATGCACGTCAGCATATTTATGTAAAAATTATGCAATTTGCTGCCGTTCTATGCCAGTGCGTGGAAAGTGGCTCAGAGGGAAGAAGCCCAACAGAGACAAGAGCTAAGAGCCACATCGGTTGAACTTAGCCAGTCAATCAAAAGTTGACGGGCTCGTCGCAGTTGTCGCTGCTCTTGTGGTTATAGTTGCGGCTGAAAAAGGACAACAGCAGCAGGCATAAGAAAAGACAGAGACGGAAACAGGGAGAGAGAAAAAGAGACAGGGAGATAGATGAAGAAACAGACGACGATTGCAAGAAATGCATCTTTTGAGCAATTTGCAAACCAAAATTTGTATTACAATTTATGACGAGTTCGAGTCGAAAATGGGCGATGGATTGAGAGATAGGAGTGGATAAAAAAAATCAATAAAAAGAATAACAAGAAGGGATCTAGCCACTGTATATACATATATACATTTTCTTTGGTTTGCTTTGAATAAGCAGATCAAAATTTCAAACAATTTACGGCCAATTTTGTTCATTTTGTCATACAAAATATTTGCTATTTATTTTAGCTGAATTTTTGTTGATGTAATGGGTCTACATATAATATACATACCTGTTACAATAAGCATATATCCATTAATTAAATGGATTTGCAAAAGTTTATTACAGAAATGGTTAACAATAAAGATGATATTTGGATTGTTGTTTTTATAGAACTAACTACACTTATATTTAAATTTACTTCTGGGCCTTAACAGTTATGCATGCAGTCCATTACAGGTTGTCGTCCTTATATGGCACATTGATCATACATTCAGAGAAAAATTAGCATTACCAAAATGCAGCAAGACAAGATTTCGATTCGGTGAGATTGACTTAAATCGAAGTCTGCGTATGATGTGATTTTTGAATCTGCTTTATCTGTTAGCTGGATCATCCAATATGATCATCGTCGTCATCATCGGATTGTTGCGCGGCATATGGTGTAAGCATTGAAGTCCCTACTCATTTCGTATTGAAATTCATGTCTCTGTTAGCAATTGTTGTTGTCACTGGTTTGTTGCATTGTTGCAATGATTGGCCTTAACTTTCACCAGCAGCAGCCGCTGTTCGACGTTGTTGTTTGCTCTTTGTGTTTGCTGTTGTTATTGTTGTTTTCGTTGTCGTTGTCGTCATCGTCGTGATGACTTTGGTCACTCGCCCCTCAACCTTGGCCCATGTGGGCCACGTCAACAGAGCAAAAAGCAAATTGTTAAGTTATTTGTAAATTTTTCTGTTCGCTGCCTGATTGTGTTTCTGCTTGCAGTGGTTTTCCACACCGTATGTTTGTGTGTGTGTGTGTTCAGTTGATTTTGCGGCATATGTAAAAAATGTTTGGGACATTCCGTATACCCTAACAACATCAGCTTAGATGAGAAGAGGATATACATATAAAAGGGAAAAAAATACAAGACGTTGGCAACATTATTGCATATATGTATATATATATATATATATATATAGTCTCATTTATTTAAAAATTCCTCACTTTTCTAAGGATATTTAATATTCGATACATTGTAGCAGTTTGTATCTCTCGTTTTTTGGTTGCATGTTTTCATGCATTTTCGACGAGCAAATCCTTTTGGCAAATTGTGTATGCATCATAAAAAGGCAGAGAGAAACACACCACGAACATATCGAATTAAATAAATGTTATATTTTTATACGCTAAAGAGCGTAACCAAACTCTGCAACAGCTGCATGAGCTTTTAAACCAACTTATATATAAATATTTGTAGAATAATAAATGCTACATTAAGAAATGCTTTTAAAGTTATAATATTTAAATAATATTTATAATTAGAAAAATATCTAGCTCAAAATTGAAAGCTCCAAATGTGTGGCATACTTTTGAGATGGCATTCAACTTGTATATTTACATTGATACTGTTGCATCTATTCGGCTGGGATTTTCCCACAATATTTACTTGTGGATGTGTTTGTTTTCATGGGTGCCAAAATCCTTGTATTTGCAGATTTTGTGTTTGAGCCGTTTTACTTTTTTCTTATAAAAAATGTCTATAAATATGTATGTCGATTTTTTCCTTACCTATCTGTTCTTATATGCAAATTTTTTTGGCATTGCGGCGCAGTGAAATTGCTTAAATGGGTCAACTCACTCATGTGGCTCTGAAGTTTTTTTTCTCATATACAGCTTCCAGTTAAGGATGCGCTGTCTTTCACATATCAGTATAGCTTGGGTAAGGTTGTTAGCTCAATATGAGATAGCTGGTAATTGATTTGGCGGCTAGTTATTTTCGCTAACACTAACAACGAATGCTATCAAGAATAGCACTTAAGGGTCTTTATCATGCTGCTGTCCTAAAATGAACTGAAATTTCATTACATATATCTTATCCCAATAGTGCTGGCAGACCAAAGGGTCATATTGTGTTTTGACTTTTTGCAGCAACAGCAACAGCTGCCGGTCGCTGTTGCTTGTTGATAAAACCCTCAGCAAATGAAAAAAAAAAACGAAAAATCCTGCTGCCTCTGAGTCTAACATGCCTTCATGTGTCTGTGTGTGAACGAAATTCGCGTTGTGTGTTAAAATGTTATCGCACTTTCTCAACGCTTTTCCAAAACATATTCGCCAACAAGCGAGAGAGATAGAGAGAGAGACGGAGAGAGAGAGAGACGGAGAGAGAGAGAGAGACTGCGCCTAAAAGTACGCCTAATCCACCCACCAAAAAAGAGACTGTTGGTTTGGGCCAGGCCAAGTGCCTCTTTCTTGATGCGCACTCGTAATTGGGCCAACGTTCAGCTCCGGCAGCTGTAATTGTTTTGCTGTTGCATTTTAGCGCTCTTTTGCATGTCAGTTAACTAATTTCTCATTCTTGTTGATGTTTGCTCCACTTGGCATGCTTTTGTTTTTCATGTTTCATGTGTTTGTGTTTGAGTTTGAGTGTGCAACACGAGATAACATTTGTTGACTGCTATGCTATGAAAATGAACAAAAAGTAGCTGTCGACAATTGACCTGCATTCTTTGGCACAAAGCACTGATTGCTATTTGACCAATCGATTAACCTTTCTCTCTACCCTTCTCCATCATCTTGCTATCTGCTTCGCTGCTGGAGTCTGCACCTGTCGTGGTTTATTTTAATAACTCAATTTTATGGGCCTGACTACAGATATTGAGCTTGTGATTTTTTTATTTATCTATGTCCTTTTACCGACTTTGCCATTATTAATGCCAGACGGTGAGAGTTGCTTTACTCCGTTCGCATTTAGCATTGCCAAAATATAATTTATAATTCATTTTGTAGACAACCTGGTCACAAGCATAAAAACGTCTATAAATGTGAAGAAAAAAGTTTTATTGCCTTAAAACAAGTTGGCCTCAAATAAGCCGTTCTATGTGCCATAACTTGGCCTAGACGCACAAAGCCAAACAAAAAGAAAGAAAGAGGGAGCGAGAACGACACACAAACACATACGCACAGTTTTCACCATTCTCGTTCGCTCTCATTTGCCTATTAGCGTTGCTTCGGTACGCCATAAATCTAGAAGATACATTTATGCAGCATCAATGTGTGTACGTCGATGTATCTGTATCTGTATCTGTAGCCCACAATCAGTGCTTCGGTGTGTGCGTTTGTACCAAAAGCCGCATTTATTTTGTACGTGTCGGCCTTAACATTCAATTTCCTGTTGAACTCCGGCTCGGTTATTCGGCTGCCACATAAGGCGGCCGGTCTTCGAAAATCTCTCTTTACTGCTGTGCAAATGAAAAACGATGTAATTTAAACGAGCAACACTTATTTCTAACTGAAAGCTCGATAGTTTTTTTTAGGCCTTGGCAGTCACTGCGTATACGCATTCTTCAACGACCAATGCAATTCCCATTGGAATAACTCATGGACAGTAAACTCAGCACAACTGCTGTTCCATGCAATGCCCATTGTCATGAGTCATTCGAAACAGCACACAGCACTCACAAGACCGAACAAGAATCACAGCAATCTCTCTGCTGAAATCGTTTGAAGACCAGCGAGGCCCATAGATTCACCAGCAACTGGCAAATGTGCGATTAGGGATCGTTTTGCATTGTTCACGGCACAGATTCTTGTCCATCTCAAAACACGGCCAATAAATTTTGTATTCTCTCCTTGAAAGAGTTCACTTGTATTAAATGTGTATGTGTATTTTTAATATGTCTAGCTTTATGACCTAAACAATTCTTCTGTGATTTAATATTGGACGCTTAGAGCAGCTTTTGCATTTGTGATATATATTTATATACTATATATTGTATAGTACTATTGCATACATTTTATTGCATAACAAAACGTGAAGGGAATGTGAAAAGTAACACACAAGTTCCCGCTAGTGTTTGAATATAATTTTTAGGTGCTTAACATTATTTTACGCAATATTATTTTGCTCAACATTTTGTAGCTTTTGGTTTTAATTAGCTTGTAGCTTGTCCATAATATTCAGTTGTTTTGCAAAAGTTATCACCGAAAATGCAATCTTGGCCATCTGTTAAAAATTAATTATTACAACTAATCAATTTACTAGAGCGAGTCTTACTTCAATGTTGGTTTGCAAGCAGATCTTAAATTTGCCTCCGGCCTTAAAGTTAATCGGCTGCTGTGTCCGGTGTAAGAAGTATATCAAACTTTTCTTATAGCGCTTATCAGCATCGACCCAATTGGATTGAAATATTGCGATGGATAACATCTCACAATCCTTTTCAACAAGATCGCAGACATAGCAAAAGGGAAACGTTTGAAAGATCAGCACGATAATAAAGACAATTGTAGCCAGACCGATCCAAAAAGTCGCAAAGAAAAGCAAATTAAACAATGTTAAACCCAAACATACTCCTATGGAAATGAACTGTAAAAATATAGTAACCGATATGATGGGTCGAAAATTGTTACAAAATCTGCAAATTCGAACATAATATATGTATATTATAGAAATTAAGATTATGCATTGTTATTTCCACTTACTCCACAATAAGTTTGTAATCTTTACAACAGTTAACCAGCTCTTCGTAACTCTGATCCTCGGTTTCGTCACTATTTGTACGCAATCTATTAATGCGCTCCGTCAACAGTTTAATGTGAGTTCTCAAAATTAGTCCAAACATTAGTGGATACAGGAGCGCCATTTCGTCAAGATAACTTGCGACCGACGCGACAAAATATTCGAATGTACACACGATCCATAAATTCTGTGGGCTTGAGCGGTAGTCTATAAATGGATTGTAGAATCCCCATGGTGTTGATCCCATTAAAACGGAGCTCAGATATGTCAATGTCAAAAATATGGAACAGACTGCCGTATATATTAGAAAAGCAGTATTGCAGCGAACAACGCAACGATGAACTTCGAAGCGTTCCTCCATTCGGGTGCATCTTTTGTCCATAAGGTCTAGCAGATCCCATCCCTTATGGAATCGCCAGATATTTGGCAGCAAAGTTAAAACCTTTAATGGCACCGTTGTTGCATCGGGAACGCTTTGTATCGATGATAAGAAAGTGTTTACAGTGAAGCTGTCAAAGTCAAATATGTAAGTTGCGTAAAGTCCCACTTGCGTGTAGATGCCTCCCAACGAAAATACAACTACACTCCAAAAGCGATGGGCCCAATAATAGAGCTTCTCTTTCGGAGGTGGTATCCAGCCGACACACTTCATACCCCTTTCTAGATACTTGAAGGCATCTCGAGATGGAAGTAAATCTTCCAATGATGGCTCCCTCAAATATTCAAATATCATGAATGCAAGAACTTTCACTCGATGAGATTACGAAATGAACCGTTGAATCTGAACTGTAAAGGTTTCCATAAATTTCATCGTATTTATATGATTTTGCCGTGGGAATTTCGGTTGTTGTGCTAGTATTGCACAACTTCTTCCATATGAAATCGTTCTCAGCATACTCAGAATTTATTAGCAACCCAATAGTTCGATGTTTGTAAAGGGGTTTGCTTCAGCTTAATATTTAATAAGTTTGCTATAAGAACTTACAAATATCACCAGGTGCATGAAGATGACATATAGGCGTATCTGAAATATGAGGGGCTGTATAATATACCTTCTGCTCGAATTCCCATGTCATTGGTATTGTAACTGCAAATTTGTGCTAAAATTCACATTTCGAAATCAATATTTTCTTTTGTGTGCCTTGCATCATCTATGACCTAAACAATTCTTCTGTGATTTAATATTGGACGCTTAGAGCAGCTTTTGCATTTGTGATATATATTTATATACTATATATAGTATAGTATTATTGCATACATTTTATTGCATAACAAAACGTGAAGGGAATGTGAAAAGTAACACACAAGTTCCCGCTAGTGTTTGAATATAATTTTTAGGTGCTTAACATTATTTTACGCAATATTATTTTGCTCAACATTTTGTAGCTTTTGGTTTTAATTAGCTTGTAGCTTGTCCATAATATTCAGTTGTTTTGCAAAAGTTATCACCGAAAATGCAATCTTGGCCATCTGTTAAAAATTAATTATTACAACTAATCAATTTACTAGAGCGAGTCTTACTTCAATGTTGGTTTGCAAGCAGATCTTAAATTTGCCTCCGGCCTTAATGTTAATCGGCTGCTGTGTCCGGTGTAAGAAGTATATCAAACTTTGCTTATAGCGCTTATCAGCATCGACCCAATTGGATTGAAATATTGCGATGGATAACATCTCACAATCCTTTTCAACAAGATCGCAGACATAGCAAAAGGGAAACGTTTGAAAGACCAGCAAGATAATAAAGGCAATTGTAGCCAGACCGATCCAAAAAGTCGCAAAGAAAAGCAAATTAAACAATGTTAAACCCAAACATACTCCTATGGAAATGAACTGTAAAAATATAGTAACCGATATGATGGGTCGAAAATTGTTACAAAATCTGCAAATTCGAACATAATATATGTATATTATAGAAATTAAGATTATGCATTGTTATTTCCACTTACTCCACAATAAGTTTGTAATCTTTACAACAGTTAACCAGCTCTTCGTAACTCTGATCCTCGGTTTCGTCACTATTTGTACGCAATCTATTAATGCGCTCCGTCAACAGTTTAATATGAGTTCTCAAAATTAGTCCAAACATTAGTGGATACAGGTCCGCCATTTCGTCAAGATAACTTGCGGCCGACCCGACAAAATATTCGAATGTACACGCGATCCATAAATTCTGTGGACTTGAGCGGTAGTCTATAAATGGATTGTAGAATCCCCATGGTGTTGATCCCATTAAAACGGAGCTCAGATATGTCAATGTCAAAAATATGGAATAGACTGCCGTATATATTATAAAAGCAGTATTGCAGCGAACAACGCAACGATGAACTTCGAAGCGTTCCTCCATTCGGGTGCATCTTTTGTCCATAAGGTCTAGCAGATCCCTTGCCTTATGGAATCGCCACATATTTGGCAGCAAAGTTAAAACCTTTAATGGCACCGTTGTTGCATCGGGAACGCTTTGTATCGATGATAAGAAAGTGTTTACAGTGAAGCTGTCAAAGTCAAATATGTAAGTTGCGTAAAGTCCCACTTGCGTGTAGATGCCTCCCAACGAAAATACAACTACACTCCAAAAGCGATAGGCCCAATAATAGAGCTTCTCTTTCGGAGGTGGTATCCAGCCGACACACTTCATACCCCTTTCTAGATACTTGAAGGCATCTCGAGATGGAAGTAAATCTTCCAATGATGGCTCCCTCAAATATTCAAATATCATGAATGCAAGAACTTTCACTCGATGAGATTACGAAATGAACCGTTGAATCTGAACTGTAAAGGTTTCCATAAATTGCATCGTATTTATATGATTTTGCCGTGGTAGTTTCGGTTGTTGTGCTAGTATTGCACAACTTCTTCCATATGAAATCGTTCTCAACATACTCATAATTTATTAGCAACCCAATAGTTGGATGTTTGTAAAGGGGTTTGCTTCAGCTTAATATTTAATAAGTTTGCTATAAGAACTTACAAATATCACCAGGTGCATGAAGATGACATATAGGCGTATCTGAAATATGAGGGGCTGTATAATATACCTTCTGCTCGAATTCGCATGTCATTGGTATTGTAACTGCAAATTTGTGCTAAAATTCACATTTCGAAATCAATATTTTCTTTTGTGTGCCTTGCATCAATGTTGGTTATCATGAAGATCGTAACGATGCCACCGGCTGCTGAGCCTGGTGTAAGAATTAAATTTGAATTTTCCTTCCATCGTAAAAAGAAAACTTTAGGAAAATCAGCAAAACAATTAAGGTAATTGTGGCAAGATAGGCATAAACAATCGAAAGAAGATCAGGTTAAACTCTTAATATTCAAAGAACAGTCATTCTGTTAATATCGCTTGCCACATATACATATTATAGAACTGAAGTTATTGCATGATTCTGAACTAACTTGACAATATATTTTATTTCCCAACATTTTTCACTAGCTTTTTTTTCCATACATAATTTTGTATGGTTATTGTAGTTTGAGTGATTTGAAATGGGCGTGGCTCAATGGCTTCGAAAATTTATGCAGTTTTCAATGCCATTACTCAGCTGTGAGTCCCGCAGCGCTGGCAACCATTTGGTCGAGTGTTGGGCGATAATTCTCGGGCTAAATGCTACCAAATTAGTTTGAAATTATCTTGTGAAATAAATCTCAACGCTATGAGCGGCTTTTTATTGCATTTTATGAGCACAAATTATTTATGATTTGCCGCATAATTTACTTCCGAACTGCTACTTTTTGTTGCTTATGTTACGCTCGAGGGTGTTACGATTTTGAATTTTGAAAAAAAAGAATATAAATATATATATTGTTATAATTGAACTGCCGATCGGCACACCATATCGTAATGTCGGCAATTTGTTGCCGCTACATGTGGGCCTGGCAGCCAGGTGGTAATTATTCTCAAATCGTGCTTAATTACTCAAGGTGGAGTGGGGCCAAAGATATTTGCCACCGTCGATGCCGAGACACATTTTTATAATTTATATAAGTGAGAGTTAAATTGTGATAAAAACAATTTTCGAGTATGTATTTTCGAGTAGCTGTGCTACAATTAGTGTTCAAGTGTGCGCAGTCTCTTAGCAAGCAGTGTGTTATAATCTTGCCTCAATTTCTAGGGTCGTATAGCGTGTAGGCCAACTGTTAAAGAGATCGAAACAAGAATTCAATAAGCTGAAATTTTTTCAATTTGCTTCCGGGCTTTTTGTTTTTAGCTTTTGGTTTTTGTGTTTGATTTTGTTTTTGTTTTTGACGTATTTTAGCCACCAACTGTGGTTGGCATATTTATTATTGTTTGCCTTGTTGCTGCTGCTGGCTGTGGTAGCTCTTGATAGCCTTGTGATTTCGTTTCTGAAAGATTTGCGCCGCTTTGTCGGCCATGATAAATACAACAAACAATTTTCAGGTTTTGTTTTTTTTCTTCTGAGTTGTGTTGTTTCGTTTTCATGCATTCTCTGCTCTGGTGGCCGCAGGACAAAATGCCAGGCCCCACAACTACATTGTAGGTCGCAAAACGCAGTTGTTGTGCAGTTGCCCAGTTTGCTGCTGTTGTCGTTGAGTCAACAATTTAAGACACAATTTGGCTGTTGCTTTTGCTGGTTTTGCTCATTGGCACTCAGTCCAGCGACGACCTTTTTGCTGGCGCATCCGCAACAAATATTTCAAATTAGAAGCAAACAACTATGACAGCACGCGGAAGGACCTCAACCCGAAACTGCTCTGGACCACACCTTGTCTGCTGTTAATGCTGATGTTGGTGTTGTTGTTGCTGCTGCTGCTGCTGCTGCTGCATTTGGCTGGCGACAATACATCAAACAGCAAGACAGAAATGAGCAACGGGGGTCGCCGCTGCTGTGTGTGTTGACACTGACATAGGAGGCGATTGCAGGCGGCTCCAGCTGAGTGATGACCGGCGACAATCGGCCAAATCGAAAGCTACACAAAGACAGAGAATCAGCTACATAGTAGTGCCAGTCCACGATGCTACATTGTGTGGACAAAACTTCCTGGAAATTAATTAAAGCTCGCACAGAGCGAGCAGCAGCAACAGAAACAGCAAAGAGTTTCGTAGCCGGACTGCCTCAATAATTATCGACGCTTATCAAAGGCACCGTTACCGATGCGCGCGTACACATGAGCTGGGCCCACCAAGTATGGAGTTGCACATGTGGCATCATCTAGGTGGAATGTGCCTCTTGCTGCTGCTTCGGCTGCAGTTTCTGCAGTTGCTGCTGCTGTGTCGGCTTTTGTTCATTTTGGTGCGCTGCAATTAATATTCAGCGCCGTTGGCTGATCATAATTTACGTGCTGAGTTTACGATGCGACTGCGACTGCAACTGCTGCGACTACAACTGAGTCTATATGCTTGGGGGCGTAACCGCCAACCGCTTGCAAAGTGGGCGTATTCTGTTACCAGGAGAGCCAAGTCAACAATAGCTAGCTGGGGATCCAGCCTAGTATCCTGATGGTGCTGCTGGCTAACAAAAGCGCATTCTATTTACATTTTCAGCGAGACTTACACGTGTTTCTGCACATGCGTGCATCATACGAAGTTTGTTGCATGCAGCTGCAGACAAGTTTTGTGGCCTAGGCAGATATTCCACATAAATTAAAATCAACATTTAAGATACCAATAAATAACCAAATAGAAGCAGCTAAAAAAAAGAGTGCTGCTGCCTAATTAGGAAGACAGACGAACAGACGGCTCCGTTTGACTGGCCACCCATTGTCGTTGTCGCT